CCCCAAAACCCCAAAACCCCAAAACCCCAAAACCCCAAAACCCCATTATAAAAGAGAGTGATAGAAGATAATAATTTAAATAATTTTAAAACGAGTTCACCTACCATGGCAAATATACATTCAGATGATTATTATGAAGTTCTTGGAGTCTCTCGGGATGCCCAAGAAAAGGAAATTAAGAAAGCATACAGAAAATTAGCCATTAAGTGGCATCCGGTAAGTAGACTACAGATGATAATATTCAAACTTTATTGTACATTCTTACCTAACTGATGTAATTTAACTGTTAAATAGAAATAAGGGGATATAGTATGACATCAAACCTCCATTAGATGGCATATGTGGTGGTTTTCTCTCCTTTCTTTCTAGAAATTTCTTCAGCAAAACACACCACTTTTAAAGAGAGTGATAGAAAATTCCAGAATTTCGAAGAATTTTCTGAGATTCTAATTTCACAAATCCTTAGCATAACACTTAGTTGTTAAGGGTTTGGGCAAGGTTTTAGTTTATCCCAAGATCACTACATATTTCTGTTGTTAGATCTTACCAACCATTTATCTAGAATTTTTTAAGCTAACAAACTTATAGGATAAAAATCCAGAAAATAAAGAAGAAGCCGAAGAGAATTTTAAAAAGATTGCTGAAGCTTATGACTGCCTCTCAGACGAATCAAAAAGATCCATTTATGACAAATATGGAAAGGAAGGTCTTAAATCTAGCGGAGCAACTGGTGGCTCAGATTTCCATGGGCACTTCCCATCAGGCAGCCATTTCTCATTCTCCAGAGCTGAAGATATTTTCAGAGACTTCTTTGGAGGAAAAGATCCATTTGCTTCCTTCTTTGATGATGAAGATGACTTCTTTGGCCCCTCTTCCTTTGGATTCTCAGGAATGGGTGGAATGGGAGGCATGGGTCATCCCACTAAAACGAAAGCATTCAAAAGTAAAAGTACCAATGCTCCATATCAGAGTGATCCATTCGGCATGGGAGGCTTCGGAGGATTTGGAGGCTTAAGTAAAAGAATGGGATTCGGATTTGATGATGACATGTTCGGAGATTTCGGAGATATGGATGGAGGAATGGGAGGCGGAATGAGCCAATCCATTTCTACCTCAAGTTATATTGATTCTAGTGGAAGAAGAGTAACAGAAACCAAAAAGAGCTATATGGACTCTTCTGGTAATCAAAAGACTGAAGTAACCAAGCAAGTTCAAAATCCTGATGGCACAATTGAGAGTTATACTGAAGCTCCTCATGCAATTGAAGGAGGAAGACCTCGTGGCAAGACAACAAAGACTGGTAAAATTAAAAAGAAATCGAGGAAGCACTAGATAACACATTCACCTATCTTTAATATATTCAATAAATTTATAGCTGAGGGGTTTTGGGGTTTTGGGGTTTTGGGGTTTTGGGGTTTTGGGG